TTTTTTTGGTGAACAGCCTCCCCCGCCACCCCTTGCAGGCGCGGGTCCCTATACAGTCTGGAATAGGTGATTGCGGATATCGCCGTGGATGGATGGGTGGATGAGGATGAAGGAGAACACAGGCAAATCGTCGATTGGAGCGACTACGTCGGCTCGCTTACAATGAATAGATCCAGAAGGCAGCAGTAGCAGTAGCAGTAGTAAGTTAGATAAGTTAGTACTCAGTAGTAACTATAGTACACTTAGTTAACATTACCTACCCAGTTCAGAAGACTCCTTCCTTGTTTGGTATTTGCCGTTATCGCGAGCCCAGCCGGTCAGATTAGCAGATGATGCTGGTAAAGAAATAAAATTGTTGAGTGACTCGAGTCTCTAGGGAGTGTCACGATCTGATTGATCTTTTAGATGAACTCTAAGTCTCTAACGTACGCTGAGTGGCAGTGGCTGTGTTTTTCTTGTCTGGGTTTCGTTCTCACCCGGCCGGGCCGACCATTGAGAGTCACCCGCACTACTCCGTACTCCGTACTCATACCTACTCCCGTACCGGTATACCACTTGCTAACGTAACTTATGGTCACCTCCTTCATTTCGCTAATTCCATAGGTACGATACAGTTACATGACCTCGTTTAGATCAAAGAGAAACGATGGAAAGCTGCAGATTCGAGTCTCTTTTAATCTGGTCTACGACGTACATCAACAATCAATTTTCATTTATCAGCATCCTAGGTTGAGACCATCATCCTTCGCGTCAAGCATCAACTAAATCACCTGGTGATCGGTTGCGTAATCCTAGCTGCCGAAACTCAGGTATAAGCTGCCAGCGACCAGGGGGACTGTGCTCCCAATTTTCCAGTTGAGCCTCCTGTCACCTGCTCTCCAGCCAACGGAGAGATTCTTCACTCTTTCTATGCATCCTTTTCACCCAGACGATGAACCTTAAGGGTCCCGCGGTCTGAGAGATCATATGCGACGAGGACTAAGGAGAGGCCAGCCTTCCAGAGTCAGTCCAGGGGCCGACTATAGCCGTGCCTCAACGGATCGTCCAGGTCCAGGAATCGACCATCGGCCATCGATTTCGACCCAAAAAAGGAACCGAAGGAAGTAAGTAAGTAAGACCAACTGTCTCTCATCCCATCTCATAGTTCAACATTTTAACTTCTCGAAAGGATGATGCTGCCGCCCAACTCCCTGCTTGGAGGGGGGGATTAGGGGGGAAGCGCCCGTCGGGATTCGTTGATTATACTTTATTGCGTTTCTCCGCCTTTGGTGATTCTCGCATGAGGAGAATCCTTCATGCTGACAGATCAACTGTCAAGAGAGAGAGAAAAAGGAGCCAGTCGGTCATAATAGCCTCATGGTCATGGCGTTGCCATGCCATGCCATCGAGCGCGGCTCCATATCGTCGCATGCAGTTTGAAGTTAGCGGGCGCTTTGGCCATCCTCAAAAGGAAGAATACGACCCAGCCCCCGACTAGATCGGTTTATCTCCTCAATCATATCGATCATCCTTATTAATCCAGCGGCCAAAGGGAGTTGGATTGCCAGTAGATCGAACCTTACCGCCTGGTAAGTTATCGCCGGGGTGCCGTGTTGTTGTTGTTTCTATGGTGTGACTCCTTGTCTTCTCTTGGTGGGAGTATACCCCACGACGCCATGCATCGCTTCGTGATTCTGTCAGCAGAATCTCCACTTGCAATCCTGAACTCTCTCGAGCGGGCGGTGATTTCGGTGCCTAACTGGGCGAAGTCAGGAGTGAGAGTTCTGGCTCGACATCTCAGGTTCCAGTAAATGCAGGTGGGACGTCCTTGCTTGGACGGACAAGAGTAAGCTCAATCTGATACAGAATGTCACTCTCATCAACCTTACATCATGGTACTGAGACAATTTGCCGGCTCCCAAGGTAGTGCCCCTTGGCCGAGGTCGATGGAACTTCCAGTATTGTTGTAGAGACTGCACGTCTATAGAGATCGACACCTGAGCCATCAACGACTGTTGAGCTACTGTCACATATCACATGATCACCTGCGATAAGACGCACTTACCTAAGCAAGAAGGAGCTTATCGGCCAGGCCGCCCGCGCGGAAATCATGCGGGCCAAATAAACATGGTCGGACCTCGTCGCTCCTCTCCGTCCCAAAGGCCCGAGGGTGAGGATTCGGCGTTCCATCGAACGAAATAAGCTGTCATCATGGCCAATCACACCCACGAGGAAGATCTGGAGGACAGATCGATAATCCTAGTGACGGGGACAAACAGGTAAGCTCAGCTCCGCCCAATCGCATAGCTCCTAAGCTTCCCTGGCCCCTTATCCCGCCGCGCCCACAACCAAACACATAAGTCGGCAGCAGAAGAGCACGACACGACGAGAACACCACAAAGCAGCACTCCAATTGACCCTCTGACTAACATTGATATCCTCTCTCTCTCACAAATCAGTGGTCTCGGGTTCTCAATATGTTGCCGCCTCGTCGACGACTTCCTCAAGTCCCCCGCCAACAACCACCGCAGCCTAGCGGTGGTCTTCACCACGCGCAGCACGAAGAAGGGCACTGAGACCCAGCAGCGTCTCGAGCAGCACCTGCAGAGCACGACAACACAAACCCCCGAGCATCGGGCCCGCATCACCTTCATCCCGGAAACCGTCGACCTCTCCAGCCTGCCGTCGACGCGCGCCTGCGCCCGGCGCCTCATGCGCACCCTCCCCAAGCTGGACGCCGTGATCCTCAACGCCGGCATCGGCGGCTGGACGGGCCTCAACTGGCCGCAGGCCGTCTGGGGGGTCCTGACGGACCTCGTGCACACCGTCTCCTGGCCGGGGTACAAGATCGCCCCCGTCGGCCTGCTCACGGCGCCGCAGACCACCACCCAGCGGGACCAGGAACCCCGCCTGGGCAACGTCTTCTGCGCCAACGTCTTCGGCCACTACATGCTCGCGCACAACCTGATGCCTCTACTCCGTCGAGCCTCTAGCAGTAGCAGCAGCAGCAGCCGCATCATCTGGGTCTCCAGCATCGAAGCCACCCTCCGACACTTCTCCATCGACGACCTGCAGGGCCTCCGCACCGCGGCCCCCTACGAATCCTCCAAAGCCCTGACCGACATCCTAGCCCTGACCGCCAATCTACCGTCCACAAGCCCGTGGACCGAGTCGTTCTGCTCCACCACGCCCTCAAACACATCCTCCACAGACGCAAACAACCCCCCTCCTACCCTGGAAACCGAGGCCGCCACCACCAAACCAAACACCTACCTCGCCCACCCCGGCATCTGCGGCACGGCGATCCTCCCGCTGCCGCTGCCGCTTATCTACGCGATGCTGATCTCCTTCTGGCTGGCGCGCCTGCTGGGCTCCCCGTGGCACACGATGTGGACGTACCTGGGGGCGTGCGCGCCCGTGTGGCTGGCGCTGGGCAGCCAGGCGGAGCTGGACGCCGCCGAGGCGCCCTACCGCGCGCACCCCGGCGGCGGCCGCGTCAAGTGGGGGTCCTCGTGCGACCGCCGCGGCCGCGACGCGGCCATCTCGACCGAGGTGGACGGCTGGGGCCACGGGGGCGTCGTCGGGCCCGCCGTCGTCGCCGCGGACCGGCTGCGGCGCCGCAAGCGCGGGGCGCGCGACCTCACGGCCGAGGAGCGGGTCGCCTTCGAGGAGCTGGGCCGCCAGTGCTGGCGGCGCATGGAGGAGCTGCGTGTGCAGTGGGAGGGGATCCTTGACCGCGAGGAGGAGCAGCTCGCACTCCAAAGCACGGGCAAGGAGGCTGCCGCCGCTGAGCGATGATGAACACATTCCACTCCACTGGGAAAGGGGGAGAGGTTCATCCTGTAACAAATCATGCTTTCGATATTGGTGTATTACTACTAATGTATAGGTTATTATCAGATAACATAATCTACGATAGTGGAAATCAAGTCTTAACGACTACAGTAGCATTGAGCAAACGCATTTCGCAGTGATATTCTTCTTATCTTGCTTTCTTTTTTCTTTTCGTTTCTTTTCTGTTTTCTGGATCCTTGCCTCCCCGTATTTACATTCCTTGAAACAACCCATGTCCACATACGTCATTAAAATCAGATAAGAGTATTAGTCCATGTGCTCACCCCCTCTCCCCTTCGAGAAAAGCAGAACAACAACGAAGTTGAACGGAAGAAGGCGGAAAGACGACTAAAGAAGAACGACAGGCTGAAAAGCAGCTGCATCGTCGACAAAAAGAAGTCAAAAATGAGAAAAAGCGGGAATTGGACGTAAGAAGTAACCAGATCGGGTCAAAGTGCTGGTCGGAGACCGCAGAAAAATGAGATTAGTAGGTTTTACAGAAGAACAGACCCGAGTCAAGACACGCTTCCACCATCAAGGCCTCTAGCATGCGAAAGTCGGTCAATCAAGCACAAGACAAAAGGAGTAAAGCGCAAGAAGGGAGATTGTTCAGGGGAGTCGGGAAAGCAATTGTATCCAGGTGGGAAAAGCCAGGTCGTCGAGCAGAGCTAGCGGTGAAAAAGAGGTTTGCGACTCAAATTTCTATGCATCTGAGCATTTTCGGGAGATGGGCGAATTTTATAGAGGTGTGTAAAAGGGGCGTGGCGGCGTGAAGAGGAGGTTTTACATGATGATCGCAGGAACTAAAGGGAATGATTTGTTAGTGGACAGGGAACCGGGCCTTGTGAATTGTGCTGAGGCTTACCATCGATGTTCTGCTTGATGCTCTTGTGAGGCAGGATCGAGCCACCGTTCACGTAGACTTCATCAGCAATGGTGACATCGTCACCAAGCACGGTGACATTTTCCAAACGAGCCCACCGACCAACGGAGCTGTTCCATCCCACGATGGTCGACTTGACCCAGGCGTGGTCCTTGACCTTGCTGTTCTCCATGAGAACACAACGCTGCAAGCGGACACCGTCACCGATCACAACGTTGGGGCCAATGACTACATTGGGGCCAATGCGGCAGTTCTTGCCGATCTTGGCGGAAGGGTCGACCATGACGTTGCCGCCGTACACGTAGGGCTCACTGTTGGGAGCAAGCAGTTTGGAGTTGCGCTTCGCCAGGGAAGTCAGGTAGAGGCAGGTTCCGCTAAGGAAGTCCTTAGGCTGACCAACATCCATCCAGAAGCCCTCCAAGTCAAAGGAGTGCAGCTGGCCATCCTTCACAATGGCGGGGAATGTCTCTTGTTCGATGGAGGTGGGGCGGAGCTCGATGCGGTTCAGCACGCTGGGGTTCAGGATGTAGATACCCGCGTTGATGCGGTTGCCGACGAACTCGACGGGCTTCTCGACGAACCGATCGATCCGACTGGGGTGGTTGGGCTTGTGAACGACGACACCGTACTTGGAAGGCTCGTCAACCTTGGTGACAACAATGGTACCCTCGTTGCCATGGCTCTTATGGAACTCAGCAAGCTCCTTGAAGGGATAGTCGCAGATGATGTCCGAGTTCAGGACGAAGAAGGGAGAGTCGTCCTTGCCCAAGATCTTCTCTGCCAGCTTCAGGGGGCCGGCCGTGCCGAGGGGTTCGGATTCGACGGAGAATTCGATTCTGACGTTATATTGTTCCTCGTACTGTGTAAAGAGAACTTGTGTGAGTTTATCGTTTTTTTTTTTTCGAGTGGTAAAGGATTATCATACTTTTTTGAGGGCAGCAACCATGACATCGGGGCGGTAGTTGACAGCCAGGACAATGTCCGTGACACCTGCCGCAGCCAAGCTTTCCACCTGGTGCAGGATCATGGGCCGATTGGCGAATTCCACCAAAGGCTTAGGAAGCGTCAAGGTCTAGGGAGGAGCTGGAGATCAGCAAGCGCATCTTCGAGAAATTCCGACTGCATCGGTATGTTGGGACGTCACGATCGTCAGCAGGGAGGGCCGCGCGGAAGCTACTCACCAAAGGACGCAGGCGGGTACCGAAACCTCCGACCAAAATAAGAGCTATGAAATGTGACTCGTCAGATAAAGCTGTCGCTTGATGGCCGTGAATGGATCATAGATCTATAGACCTGTACATACCCTTCATGATTGTGGTAGTGTGTAATTGGTATTAGAGCGAAAGGGGGTAGAGGGGGTTGTTCGGAGGGGGACTTGCTCCAAACGAGTGACCGGAGCAGAATAGTATGGGCGAGGTACAAAAGATTAGATGTGAAACCCACACGGGGGAAAGAGAAGGCTAATGGAAATGTTTCGAGGTTTGGTTCAAAGTAAGACCCAGCAATCCGAGATGGACGGGGGAAGAGTGATAAGATTGAAATAGAACAGAATAAAGAAGAGAATGAATGGACGGGGGGGGAGGGGGAGGGGGGAGGGGGAAGAAGGTGGAAAAGGAGAGGAAATTGAGTTATAAGAGAAAGCGCAAGAGAGACAGAAGACGGAGAGAGAAGAGGAGAACACCTGGCTATTGTGACTTGACTACGACTTGACTTGATGGGAGTGGATGGGTGGATTTTGGGGGAGGGTAGGAGGGGGCTGTAACGGAAGCGTATGTATGGAGATTGTATGGAGATTGTATGGATGACTAGAGGGAGGGCCGGAGGGCTAAGTTAAAGGGCTAAAGGGCCAGCCAGAGAAGAGCCCCCGATGCACCCCCTTAATAGTATAAAGTGTGGGCAGCCTTATGCTAACTCACTGCTAACTACAACGTACTGGGTAGTGTCCAGTGTCCACTAATCCAGGCACCGAACGGACCACTGGCTGGCTGGCGTTTCAACCACCACAAAGGCAGGCCGCAACGCACGTTTGCGGCAACGCCACCCCATTTAAAACCAGTTCCGTACCGGCAGCGTATGGTTTCAGGTCTAGAGCCAAACTACTGGACTAGTCGCGGCCGGATCAGGTGCTTCGTGGGGCAATCATTTCATTATTCAATTGCCCCTGGATCTTCCCATTCTTATTATTACGCGTTGCAATAATGAAAAGGACCATAAGCGATAGCCGGGTTTGTTCTTTCATGTGCTGATATTGTATCATACTCTCATGCAGTTACCACTACACAAAGAGGTCACTTGAAAAGGTCATTAGCATGATCTACGGCACAATTCGTCATAATCCCCAGCCGCTTGTGTTCACCTTACCATCGCGGCATGTGGATGCTGCTCAACCCTCCTCGGGTTGCATTCCCCCATTTGCTCGCCATCAAGACCTGGTTGTTGTAGAGCCGCGCTGAGCTTGTTACCCAAGTGTTGCAGTGGAGCAATTAGTGTATGCAGGAGGCATAATCATCGCGCTCCCCTCCCCAGGAAAAACTCCCAACGGCCCCGATCTTCTGATCGTCCATGTATGATCGCGTTTGAGGACAGACAATGGACTTCCTGCTTTGTCCGCCTTCTCCCCGGTTCGTGTTACCAGCCAGTCCGATCATGTGCATGGTCCGAAGCGCGCAATAGTGAAAGAGCAGTTCTCAGCTCTCTATGCCCTTACCTACTAGACTGTGGTTGATGTTGTTCTAAATATACTCTTGCGTATCCGGAGGCAGTGCGTTATTTGTGGTGGTAGCTTTTCCAGCCAGCCCACGTGTTAGGGGCCCCTTACCACTGTCACCGCCTACCGCATCCGGCGCAAATCGTCTGATCCACTCGCGCACCTTGCTGACTTTCTCAACCAGCAGATCCTCTTCCTTCTTGGCTGCAGGACCCTGCTGCTGCTGCTGCTGCCGCCGTTGGAATTCTTGTAGCCTCTTGGTGCTGTAGACACCACCTGCATCGTTTGCGTCAACCCGCTGTCGATGCAGAAGGTCAACTCTAGTGACTCCCTTCCGCAGGCTCTGCCCGTATACCCGTTCGCGGAAGGAACTCAGTCCTACCGTGCGCATCAGGACAATGTCTCGAGGTCGCAGCGTAGCCAGCGACCTTCCAAGTTCGTCCTCGATAGGCTTGCGATCACCGGCCGCATGTGCCTGGTCCGCAGGAGGAAGCCAGAAGGTTACTCCAAATCCGCTTCGCGTGTCATCGCCCACTACAACCTCGACCAAGTCTAGTTCTTTCTTCCATTGCCGTGTCACAATGCGGCGTGGGCGGTTGATGGTGATGATTGACACGACTAGATTCACAGTCACGGTCTGCGGCACGATCGACGTCAAGTATGCTGCCGTAGGGATGGCCTGGAGGTCGGTGGCAGATGTTTGGCCTAGAATCCCTGGGCTCGGCGCTTCTTTCTCGCTCACTGTTGCGATCGAACTCCCGGTACTATCGGCCCAGATGCCGCTACCTTGGAAAGAGTTCTCAGAGCGAACCCCGGTCGCCGAAATCTCGGAAACCTCATGCACGGTGAAGGAGTGCTCGTAGAACCGTGAGAGTACCGAACCCTCTGGTTCATTGGCCGAAATCCCGCCAGAGACTGCGAGGTCGCGGGTTGCTAAGAAGCAGGCCCTTTCCTGGGAGCCCGTGTCGAACGTCCCTTGTAGCAACTGAGATGTCCGCAGGTCTTGCAAGAGCCTCCACTTGATAGGGTAAGCATCTGTCAGGCGCCATGGCTCTTCGTCATCCAGATTTGATTTCTTGAAGGGAAAGATGGGCTCTGTAAGCAATTGCTCTTCATCCCACTGAAGGTTTCTCGACGTGGGTGCACCCATTAGGAAGATGAGTTTCTTGGACATCGCCTTGGCTGATATGTACAGAAGCGGCCATGAGGCTTATTGAAGCAGTACGATTGATCTGCCACGCCTTGGAGAATAATGCCGCTGTAGAGCACAGAGAGATGTAATGACTTTGGTATATAGTGTGCCAATACTCGGCTTTAGGAGATCGGACGCACCGAGATTAGGCGGTTAGTGGCGGGCTATGGATCGATAGCCCTGATCATAGACCCAGTTATATAGCAAAGTACACGAATGAGGCTCGGGAGATGAACGAGAAGAGGCTGCTGCAGACCTCGCGTCACTGTGTCGAAGCTGAACCACGGATTGCAGACAAGTAGCATCGTCGGCCGTACGGTACATCAAATACAGTACCGTAACTCCAGCCTCAAGATATCATATCATTGCGAGAAGTGGCGATTGAGTTAATTGTTGACTGATCGATGGGGACATTCGAAGAGCGTACTAGGTACGTATCAGCATAGCTTCCTAGCATACCCACATTAATGACATCTCCATGCCAGAACGAGACATGTTCCTCATATTTCGAGGCGGGTATCACGTGGATGGGAGACGAGACTACGGAACTCCATTGAAGTCGCAGTGGCAACTTCGGCAGATGACTTTCGCCGCCCCCCGAATATCAGACTGGCCCGACATCATCATTCCCGGCTTCCATCTTCGCCCATCGATTCACTGTCTTGAAGTGATAGGAGATGGCTTTTGCCTTTGTTGAACATTGAATAGGCTCTCATATCACTCTTCTTTCCCACTTTTCTGTTGAAGGGTAATCTCCGGAATCAGCGGCCAAGTGCCGCCATCCTATAGCCCATGGCCTTCCAAGTCCCGTTCTCTATGCCAGTATGAACTATTCATTCCCTCAGTTCAACATGCCGACTCCTTTACTAATGGCGCCTTCTTGCTATAGAACCTGGCGGCAGTGACATCGGATGCTTGGCCTTCTCTGTCCAAAATACTGAATGCGCCCTGGAAACTGATCGAGCACTCCGCCTCCGCCTCCGCCCCTCAGCTGAAACGTACCGGCCACGAAACCAGTTCGATTGTATGTCCTTATACCCATCCATCGCGGGCGTCTGAGAAATTGCGTACTCATCAATATCCTCCCCAGGAAACTCGCCAAATTGCGCTCCCCGAATGTCTGACCACAGTATCCTCCGAGGCTCTTAGATCGGCTGTCATGTACAAGCCGGCGGCATCTGGAATGACTCGCTCCCTGTTCGCTGGTAAATCGCCACAAATTCATATCGCATTCTCAGCCACAGACTAACTTCACTTTCATTTTCTAGCGACCACTCTTTGGGTTCCGCCATCGACCGCTAGCCGTCGTCTTGCCACACCCGCCTCTCGCCTTTTCTCCACGCTGACCGCAAATCCGACCCGCATCCGCCACGCCCCGCACCTACATGGACTCTCACGTCTCCAACAACAGCGGTACCTCTTTGGGGGTCCGTCTCAGGCCTTACTAGCGCAGAGGGAGAAAACCGCGAACAACAATCCCAGTAGCGCGAACGCTCAAAATGCCTTCTACCAGGCTCTTCTGCGCGCGAACCATCCAGCCATCATCCTTGAACGGTACAGATCCGGGTACTTTGCTAGTAACGCGGCCACTGAGGCGATCTATCACAAGGCTTTGCAACGGGTCAATGGGATCGATGGCTCAACATCTTTCTTAGGCGCCAACCAACAGTCCAATCCTGACCTGCTTCATCAACTTAAGCCCGAGCAAATACAAGCTATTGGTCAGGCTGTTGGTGCTAAAGGTATTCATGGCAAAGTACACGCGGCACCCGGCCAAACCGGCACTGGAGCTAAAGAAGCACCTCTGTACGTCGTGGTCGAGGAGTCAAGGGGAAGCACTATTTTCCGCTGGGTGAGATTCTTTATCACGATGGCGTTCATCGCATACCTGTCTTGGGTGATTCTCGCTGTCGTCCTTGAGACCTCTGGTGTTTTGCGAAACGTCAAGGGCCCGCAGAACAACGAAGCTCAACCCGAACACCAGACCGTGCGCTTCAGCGACGTTCATGGATGCGACGAGGCCAAGGACGAGTTGCAGGAACTTGTTGAATTCTTGATCAATCCTGAACGGTTCTCCTCGCTCGGTGGCAAACTGCCGAAGGGTGTCCTTCTGGTCGGTCCCCCTGGTACTGGCAAGACTCTACTCGCGCGTGCTGTGGCAGGTGAAGCCGGTGTGCCTTTCTTCTTCATGTCTGGGTCGGAATTCGACGAAGTCTACGTTGGTGTCGGCGCCAAGCGTGTTCGGGATCTGTTCACTCAAGCCCGCAGCAAATCCCCTGCCATCATTTTCATCGACGAGTTGGACGCCATTGGTGCAAAGAGAAACGAAAGGGATGCCGCGTATGTGAAGCAGACTTTGAATCAGCTGCTTACCGAGCTCGATGGATTCAGTCAGAGCAGTGGAGTCATCATCATCGCAGCGACCAACTATCCTCAGCTGCTTGACAAGGCTCTCACGCGCCCTGGTCGTTTTGATCGGAAGGTAGTTGTCGGTCTTCCAGACGTTCGCGGTCGCATGGAGATTCTGAACCACCACATGAAGAGCGTGCAAATCGGCACTGATGTTGACGTGGAGGTCATTGCTCGTGGCACTTCTGGGTTCTCGGGTGCTGACCTTGAGAATCTTGTCAACCAGGCCGCAATTTATGCCAGCAGGAACAAGAAGACCAAGGTCGGACCCAAGGATTTCGACTATGCCAAGGACAAGATCATAATGGGCGCGGAGGCTCGCAGCCGGGTGATCCAGGATAAGGACAAGCTTCTGACTGCTTACCACGAGGCCGGCCACGCTCTCGTTGCTTACTTCTCGAAATCCTCCATGCCGCTCTATAAGATCACTATCGTGCCCCGCGGAATGGCGTTGGGTATCACACATTTCCTGCCTGAGATGGACATGGTTTCCAAGGATTACACCCAGTATCTGTCGGATATTGATGTCGCCATGGGTGGCAAAGCTGCGGAGGAGCTCATCTTTGGCCCTGATAAGGTCACCAGTGGTATCTCGGCTGTAAGTTTGACCTTCTACCTTTCTTCGTGGAGGGAGTCTTTGCTGACAAGTTGCAGGATATTGAAGCAGCCACCAAGACCGCTTTTGCTCTCGTCACTCAATTTGGGTACTCCAAGAAACTTGGAAATGTCGACTTGATGTCCAACTACAGCAGCCTGTCCTCGGAAACGAAACAAGAAATCGAAGCCGAGGTTCGACGCATCGTCGAGGAGGCTCGCGTTCGCGCCACCAACATTCTGACCGAGAAGCACAAGGAGCTCGAACTGTTGACCCAGGCTCTGATCAAGTACGAGACCCTGACTAAGGAAGAGATGGAGAAGGTTCTGCGAGGGGAGAAGCTCGACAAGCTGGAAACAGCGCCGGCCGCTCCCATCAAGTTGCCCGAGGTTCTGCGGGCTGCCAAGTTGCCCTCGCCGAACCCCGAGGACATGCCCCCAGTAGCCACGAATTCCGCCAACGAATGAAGCGCGAGCCGCTATTCCTGACTTTTTTTGACCTTGACTTTCGACCTATGTCCTCTCCTCTCTCCCCTTTGAACCTTATCGTTGTGGAGGCTTATCAGCAGAGCCCGATAGCCTTTGCACCATCATCTTCACTACATTCCCGAATTCGATCTACCACGGAACATGATCGATTGATGTCACCGCCATCTTACCCAGATTTCTTTTACTCTGCATCCCATTCCGGTTTTTCTTTGTTCTTATCTTGTATTGTTTTCCAGACTTGGGTATATTTGGTTTCTGCTACCCCTTCTTTCATGAGTGAATCGGTCTATCCGATGTTAACATGTATGTAGCAAGCTTGAGGGCGGTGTTTCTTACGACAGATGATGGTATAGGGCGTCATCTGGTCCCATGGGGGGTACCACGGAACCTTTTTGTGCGTAACATGTGTACATACATGTATCAAAATTTGCATGAGTACCGGACACGCAAAGCGAGATGTTTGTAGAGCAGATCACTAGCAATACACATTTAATCATAGCCCTGCTACTTTGGATGTACCGAAAAGATGAAAAGTAAGGATTGTCGCTGTTGCTGTGTTAGGTTCGGGGGTATATTCTATCTGTAGGATATAGGTTGGTAAGCTAGTCTCACAGCTGCGGTCATGCGGCCCATTCTTTTAGCAGATGAGACTTAGACATCAGCGGCACAGAAAGAAATCAGCCTTGGAGTTGAAATCTTCATCCGCAGTAGGAGTGTCGTGCATTCTGACCGATCTCAGAACAATGGTATGGTGTCCTGCAGTCCGGGTACTGTACGCATCAGCGCAATCCCCTCAACCATCTCGCCCTATCTGTTGTCCCCCGGCATACGCCCATATGGATCTACCACAATGACCATTTGTACATCTACACTTCCATCTTCGATATTCCAATCCCATCCATTCCCTCCCCCCTTTGCTATCCCCACCAACCCCTCTCTACCTGTTCCCACATCCCACATCCAAGATCCAGATCCATATAAGTATGAAAATGTGCATAATGTATGTATGTATATGCAACCCAACCATTCCCCAAAACCAACCCCCATTAAACCCAACCCACACCAGAACAACAAAAAAAAAAAAAAAATAAACAACGACCCTCCTTCCCCAAATAAGAGGGCAATGAAACAAAAAAGCTACCAACTCGTCCTCCCCGTCCCCCGATCAAACCCGCCCCGCAACTGCTCCGCCGGCTTGACCACCTTCCCCTGCAACACGGTATACCGGATGATGTTCTCGCAGTCCTGCGGCTTCACTCGCGCCAGCCAGATCCCCTGGGCTGCGCCTTCGGCTGCCGCATCAGCAGTGGCACCCGGTGCGCCAGCGCCAGCAGAAGATCCGTTCCACCCGCACTCCCTGCGCCGATAGACAATCACATTGGCGGCGTACTTGTGCCCGCCGACGTGGTTGATGAAGTAGATGCCCACGCCGCCGGGCCGCTCGTCGTCCAGGTCGCGGTACAGGTTCAGGTGGCGCAGGTGGCGCTCGAACTCCTTGCGCAGGAGCGGGGCGGACTGGCCGCAGCGGGCGTCGCGGGTGCGGTGCGAGCAGAGGAGGATGATGGCGGAGTGGGGGCAGGGGCGCGCGCGGAGCGGGGTCAGGGCCGAGAGATCTGTCTCCTCGAGGTCGGGGGAGGGGGCGGTAGTGCTGGTGCCGGTGCCGGTCCCCGTCAGCGGGGTGGTGGTGGTCGGGCCGCGGCTGACGAAGTAATTGATCAGATCTGGCGCCAGGGCGGGCGTGACGTGGTCGACGAGGGTGAAGCTCGGCAGGCAGAGGACGGTGGTGGGCTGCTGGCCCGGTTCGTGGTAGTGGTATTCGTCCGGGACGGGCATGTTGGAGGCGGAGAGTTTGAGTTTCTAGTCCGTGATGGGAAGTTAGTTGGGTTCGATGGGGTGGCGTGCGGGGGAGTGGAATAGTTCTTGTTTCGCGTCAGTGGGAAGGAAAAAAAGAGGCTGACGCACCCCATTGCTCGGAACAAGCCCCCCCTTCTCGATCGCCTCCATCACGCTCCCCGGCTCGTCTGCCACGTCGCGCACCCAGTCCGTCTTGCCCGTCGCGACGAGCACGTGCGTCGCCCACTCGCTGATGTTCCCGTACATGTTGTCCTCCTGGTCCACGTCGAACTTGGCCGGGTACTTCACCGTGCAGGAGGCGCAGTCGTGCAGGCACTCCTCGCCGTCTATGGCTGGGTCGACCTTGGGGAATAGCGTCTCGGCGGGCTGGACTTCTTCGGCGGCGGCATTCTCGTCGCTGGCTTTGGGACTGTCTGCCGGGGTGGCCGAGCGACTCGGCGTGAAGAAGGCTGCGCCTCGTTGGATGAATGATTGCATGGTTTTGGGTGTTTATGGGAGGGACCGGGGGAGGGTAGGAGTTTTGGAAGCTGCGCGGGACAGAAATTCTAGCTATCGAGAAGGAGGGGAAACGTCAGATCTTATCAATCACTCTGCCAAGCCACAAACACTGATGATGGAATAATTGACTAAGATTCGCTTGCCGATGCTCCGATTGGCGGACGTCACGTGGCTTGAGCCCGAAAAGCCGAAGCAGCTCGGAAGAAGTGGGGGAGACCATCCCGACCTAGACATAGAACAAGACCAATGAGAGTATGACGAAACTAATGAATTGCGTTGCTCCTCGGATTTAATTATCAAATTTAAACTAGCTTCCTTTCCCCCCACCACTAGCAGAGGGGCTCGGAACTCGGAATTAAAGGCGTTCCCTCGACCCTCCAAAATTGAAGGCATACGGCAGATCCGACGGTCCCCGGGCTTCCACCAAATGAATGACGCTGCCACCAGAGCTGTTGGACGGCAGTCGCCTAAGCGAGCGCATCGATGGCGTCCGCGGCGGCTCCATGGCCCGACCACGCGTAGTCGGCCGCCGCGACCAGACAGGCGACCAGCGCCCGTGCTGTCTGGCGGCGGACCGGGCATCCCAAGACGAGGCATTCGACGGCCGCAGGCTGTTGCTGCGCCCGCGGGACAACACTCCCTCACTATCCTGAAACGAATCGATGGTCTCCGTCTCCCCTTCCTCGTCCGAGGGCCCGATGATGGACTCGCTCTCCGTCTGACTGCTGGCTCCGTCCTCCTCCTCCTCCGCCGCCTGCAGCTCAGCCAGCACCCGTGGATTCAGCCCCGTCATGCCCCGTAGCAGCTCCGCAAAGACGTGCATCAGCTCCCGAAACTCGTTCTCGTGGAGATCTCGCGACGAGAAGCGCGCCCGTTCGTAGCGCGCGATGAACTCCGCGCCCACCTCCGGCGGTCGGACGACATCCAGCGACGCGAGGTGCTGCAGGTACGCGCGCAGGCCCATGGAGACCGGTCGCCGCAGGACTTCCACCACCCGGGTGTCCGGGAATGACTCGTCGGCGTCGGAGAACGGCGCGCGGAGGGACTGATGCACCCCGGCGAAGATCGGGTCGGGGGGAGCGAGGGAGACGGCTTTGGCTTCGATCAGGTGAGGCAGTTCCTGGATCACGGTCCGGTATGGGAGGTCCGGCAGGTCCGCGCACGAGGGCGACGACCAGCCAGGGTGTTCGATGGGACCCCAGGGCGGGTGGTCGCGGTCGATCAGCAGCGACTCGTAGTTGGCGAAGGCATCCCCGTCGGCGGCCAGGTCCCGCGGACGGGCTTGGTAGGCGATGATCGCGCTGTGGGCTAGGCCCTCCTTCACCAGGCGTCGCACGCTCTTGCCCACATCTTCCTTCTCCACGGGGATCCAGGCCTTGGGGATGCCGGATAGAACGGTACGGTTGGTATAGAGACGGGTCGCGTAGATGAGGATGGCGAGAATGAATGTAACGACGTAGCCGCCCGTGATGATAAAGATGTTCGTGAGGCGGCGGGTGATGTAGCACTGGTAGATGGCGTCGGCGGGAGTCAGGATGATCAGAAAGAAGAGGATCACCGAAAGAAAGATAAAGAATGTCAAGTTGAGGAAGCGCTGGAGGTTGAGGGCCATAATCGCGCACACATCATATCGCGCATTGTCAGCCCCTGCGCCGCTCGAGTTACAGGCACGAGCTGGCTGGGAAGATGTCAGGGATGCGGATTCCGGAAGGGGCCCCGACCGGTTAAAGGAGGTTCGGGTCACGTGACTTGTAGATCGATACCAGACATAAACTGAACATTCAACCTCACCAAACATCACTACACATCACTAAATGACCTAACCCTTACGGCAGTTGCAGACCCTTGGTGGGCAGACGATGGCATTAACAATGTGTATATATTAATCTACCTCCCATGCAATCTATTGCTCTACAAATCACATAACGCTGAACGGTCCAAATCTATGCAAGCCCCTCAATCATCCTCCACGGCGACCTCGTCCTCCGGCTTGGGCTCGAACTGAGCGCGAGCGCGGCGGATGACCCGCTCAATACCATCCAGACCCATCTTCAGGACATCCATCTTGGGACCGTAGCTCAGACGAACGAAGTGGTGGCAAGGACTGTCGAAGAGATCACGTCTCTTGGCGGGGTTCAGGTCGAAGAAAATACCGGGAACCACAATGACCTTCTCGGTCAGAAGGGCATTGAAGAAGTTCAACCCGTCGGAAATGTTAGCCTCCTTGGGGAGAGGAGGCTCCAGAGAGGTGAGATCGAGCCAGATGTAGAAGGTGGCCTGCGGGACATCCTTCACGCGGAAGCCGATCTCGTGCAGGCGCTTAAGAACGAAATCTCTCTTCTCGCGGAAGTGGGATTGCAGCGCCTTCATCTCGGCTCTCACCAAGTCGGGCTCAAGCATGGGAATGGCGGCCTCCTGGAAGGGCACGTTGGCGCCACCGTCCAAGTAGGAACCGGCAGAGCCCAGAGCATCCACAAACTCCTTGGGGCCAACAACCCAGGCAATACGCCATCCCGGGAGACGGAAACGCTTGGTGAGACCGTCAATCAGGAGCACATCTGTCATAGTCAGCATCGAAAGCATGCCCAGAGTTCAGGAGGGGTCAGCTAGCGAACCATCTTGGTTAACGTCCACCACGTGCTCAGCACCGCTGATCGTGGTTCCGTCACAGTCCGTGGTATAGTTGTAACCACCGTAGAACTCATCGAGGATCAGTGTCGCGCGATCTCTGCAAATGTCTTGAATGCGAGCGAGCTCCTCGTTGTCAACAAAGTGACCGGTGGGGTTACGGGGGTTGGAGGTCAAGAGAACGGAGGTACCACGGGCGATCTCCTCGGCAATCTTGTCGGGGTGAATGTGGTAGTGGTCATCCTGGGCAAGAGGAATGGGGATAGGCGCGATCTAAGTAGCACATTTGTCAGAATCTAACAACGCCACTGGCTGATCGCTGTTGACGAGCCGGAGCCGTGTCGCACACTTACGTTCTTGAACAAGGTCAACATCTCCGAGTAGGCGGAGTAATCGGGGATAGGGAAAGACAGGTAGGAGTTGCCCAGGATGGCAGCGATACGGATCAACCCAGCACGGCCACCAGGGACAATGCAGACGTTCTCCCAAGTGTACTGGCTCTCCTTGCCCTGACGGTAGTGTTCGTTGTACAACCGGGCGACGGCGGCGCGCAGAGGCTTGATACCGGCGGTCGGGCCGTATTCGCGGGCGGCGGAGGTGATGGGGATGCTCGTAGGACGGGGGAAACTGCCTTCGATCTCATCGTCGGCCTCGGGGGCACCCTGGCCCAGGTTCGCCCAGGCAGAGGGATCCTCTGCGTAACCGTGCTCAGTGGCACGTTCTGTGCACCAGACGACACCCGTGGAGGCACGAGAGGCATCGAGACCGGCATGGGGACGGTGACCCTCATGGGCGCTGCGGAATTGCCGGTGGGTTTCCGATCGGAGTTCTGCAAGGGCGAGATCCGTCAGATGGCATGCACGTAACAAATAGCTAATAGCTTAAAAGACCATTGTTCCTCAGAAGAATAGCCTTTGTCGTCGACATTGCCCCGCTCCCCTCTGGTTCCAAGTCCGAGATGCGGCACAATCGCCGCTCTATAGACTCCACCATTCCGGGGAAACAACAATCAAAATCAATGTGACGTACCGTTCTCGGACAATTCCTTGCCCAGAGAAAACCGACGGTTTCCCGGGCGCAAGATGCTGACGCGACGGCCGGAGAAAGACATGATGGACTGCTTGGCAGGAGAGGGGTCTAGCGTTATCGACTATATGTACGCACTAAATGTACAGTACAGGGGTCGCAGGAAAAAAGTCGGTGGCGATTTCTCGACCTTCGACGTCAGAGAGCAACAAAAGTGTAAGTAGGAAAAGAATCAAAGCACCAGTCTGCTTGGTTGCCTTGGAAGTCCTAGACAATGTCAGAGACGATGAGAAGAAGATAAAGAAGAGGAATGAGACGAACAAGAGGTGGAGGGGAGGGAATGATAATATAATATAAGGCAAGAATAGAAACAATTTGTTAATGGAAATGCAGGAGAAAAGAGAAAAAAAATAAAAAGAAAAAAAAAGGCGGCCTGAGTTATTTGGGTCGACGAGGCAGAGACAAACTCGAGGGAAGGGAAGGGGAAGGGAAAGGCCTCCAACTGGAGTTGGAGATCCAACTTTCTACTAGTAACTACAACCAGGCACTCTTTCAGACTTCCTTTCAGTCAATCCCCACCAACCATCAGCATCATGAAAGCCGTAAGCAGCAACTAATTTAGTGACTAGTCCACAGTCCACCGCCATGAACTAGTCAGCATCCTCCACATCATCATCCTTTTCCGACGTCGGATGCCGTCATACTATTGGCAGTCCGACACCTCGAGACGGTCAATCCCTCAAAACTCATTCACGTCAAGCATCCCCCCTGAATCGATACAGATGCTCAGATAATCCCGCATGGTCGGGGGAACTCGCTCAGGAGGTCGTGCGCACCTGTTGGGTTTTGAAACATGATAAATGCCTCACTACCAAGTTGTCACTATGCATAGTAACATACAAGAACACGACAAATCATCCAATCCTCCTTTTCTTTCGAAATCCTCCCGTCCAGACCGCATCGATTCCCGTCCCGATCGACGGGTGGATGATGGAATGGGAAAAGAGTGGAATAAAAAGTGGAACACTCGGATGGGACCCGGATTCCCGGTTCTTGTGCAACCTTCAGCCCTGGAAGAGAGACAGACCCAACCCGTATATTAATTTCGAACAACCAAGGGGAGAAGAATTTCAGGAGAGAGAGAGAGAGGTGTGTGGCTTTTGGACAAGTCTCATTGCATCCTGTTGTTTGCCCCTCTTCTCTGATAGACCTGCCCCTCCCTGCCCAAGCCTCACTCAACAGTCACACAAAGTGGCAGGCCCTACGCTAAATTTGTATACTCTATTCAATTAAGAAAGAAGGGAGGAAACAAGTCTATTTCATTACGATTGAGGCACTCCGGCCATATTTCCCAACCGTCGTATCCAACCCGCTGTCAGACACGACCCAACGCAACCAAAACACAACAGGCAAGCTTCAAATGAAAATGCAGGAACACTGTACAACTCGTCTTTCCAACCCGCAAGCCAGTATGCGTGAAAAGAAATAGCAGTATACATACATCATGCAGTCATGTAGATCAGATCAAACAGTCATCAACATTGCCGCAGAAAAGACATTCCCAGTAAATCGACATGATATGATCCAGCACAATTCCTAAGACACGACTCCATGCAATGGAACAAGCAGAGCAGCAACCTAGCCAAGGACATGATCCCTGCAAAGGCGCATGGCATGCAAGAATCAGAGACTTCCCAGAGCCTCAAGGCCAATCCAGTGAACGACGAGGGTCGGAAGGCAACCAGGAGACAGCACCGGCGAATGGCTTTGGCAATCGGTGTCTCTTCTCTTTCCAACTCATACAATATAGGTGGTATTGGCAGTAATTGAGAAACACAAGACGAACAGAGGCGAGAAGGGGGAATAAATGAAGAACAAAGCAAGAAAGACAAAGAGCGGTGAAGGAGAAGCTGGCCATGCCAAAGCGTCTGACATCGCTGCGGCTCTGTTGCAGCTCTGGCACACCTAGGTCTCGACTGCCTGGCAGTACAGTTGGATCTCCCCCACTTGGCCCCGGGCGAGCATATCACGCTGCTGCTCCCGCCATTCCAAGAAAGCCAACTGAACCGCTTCGTCGCTGTCAATGGTCACAAAGTCTCCGTCCTCGTCCCGGTATCGGAGTCGGACTGATTTACTCGTTATCGACTTGGTAGTGAATCGAGCCAGCTTGGCGTCGACTCGGTCGATCAGGGAACGGAACATGATGTTGCTTGCAATAACCAAAGTTACGTAATTATCATCAAAGTTGACCTTCACCTTAAGCTGTGTGGGCATGAGTGGCTCCTCGTCGGGCTCATAGCTCAGGGGGGAGGTTGGCTGATCGGTAGCTGACGTGTTGGACCGGTGATCACCATATTGAGGCTCATTGAAATGGGTGGGAGAGACATGTTGCGAGTTGCTAATGTGGTTGGCGTTTCGAATGGGAAGTTGAGTATTGGAGGTGGGGGAGTTGTTCTGGCTGCGGTTGACTGGCGCCTTCATGCTGGCCATATGAGCGGGAATAGGTGGGACAGGAACAGTCTCCACCGACTGCATATACCGACGGAGCTCGGCGTTGTGAATATCGGGACTACTAGCGGACCGCATCCGCTGTGCCATGCCATTAGCTGCCTGGGCGGAACCTCCTGACATGGGAGGTAGCGAGGGGCGCTGAGCACTTCGTCCATTCGACGCGCCGTTGAAATAGGGGTTGGAGTTGGGACCATCTCTCGACGTAGCTCGAGACAAGGCAGGGGCCGTGTAGCGAGGGTGGTCTTCGCTCCAGTTGTTGGTAGGCGTGGCCTGTCGGCTGCTAAAGTAGCCGGTGGACTGCGAACTGGACCTAGTCGATGGGGTTTCGGCAACCGGGGAGAAATAAGAGTTGGCGTTCCTCTCAGCTGGTGACATACTGCCCCCGGGGAACTGCGTATGTACCGACAGACTGGGATCAGGCACAGGAAAGCGAGGCGGGCGACCAACTGGACCAGAGCTGCCACTGCCGCCTGTTGCTGAACGAGTCCGGAGACTCGTGCTTGAGGCGTTCCGACTCATGGGAAATTCGGAGAAGAAAGCAGCTTCCTTGGTTGCAGCCTGCTCTTCGTCATACTCCTGCTGGTAGGGATTGGGCATGTTGGCCATGGACTTCATGTACGTGAATTCAGTTTCGGATGTGCTGGTGTTGCGGGCGCTGCGCTGTTCCGCTTGGATTGCTCGTTGTGCTTCGATGTCCCTGCTCCATTTGCGCATGACATCCTCGTTCTGATAGCGAATGATAAAGTTATCGACGACACCTGGATCGCCCTTCCAGAAGATCTGGATTCGATATGATCCTGCCGTGAAGCGGAGTCAGAAACATGGCTATATAATTGCATTATGGGCGTCCGTGGGCATATGACCAGAGGTCTAACAAAGACAGATGGGATGTTTAGAAAGATAGAACCATACCTGGCTTCGGCATACACAGGACATCCGTCACATTGGCCATATAAATGCGGCCTTTGAGCTGAAGGCGTGGTTTGCCCTTGCCCGTCGTGGCAGGTTTGTCCTTTCCGACCATCAACTTTGTCTTCTGCTTGTTAGGGTTGATATCCTTGCAGCATAGTAGAATCCGCTCGAAGAGGTATATATGATACTAGATAGTGCGAAGGATATTCCCGAAGTCAGCCTGTGGATCTCAAGGCTTTAAAGCGACTGAATCCACGCTGGATTCCTCTAATAGGAACGAGGCGATTTGAGTGTGTACTAACCTCTCTTTCGGAATCCTTTCCGTTGTCACCTTTGATGACGGAGAACGTGCCGAATCGTAACAGATCTCCAAAAGCATCTATTTTCAGTGCCTTCCAATCATCAACGCGGTCATCTAAGTCTTTAACCGCTGTCTGCAGGTGTTCCTTGTCAATCGCATCATTGGCCGAGTCCAAAACCGACTGGATGGCATCAATTGCCCGCTGGATATCGTTCTGGAGATCGGGGTTCTCCATCTGCTTGCCGAGTTCCTGTGGGACGGTTAGCGGCATGAAAAAGGACAAGATTCATTTGTAGTTCACTATAAGGATCTATACCTTAAGCATCAAAGGGTACTTCGTCAGGCGCTGGAAAGGTTTGACGAAAAAGCCGTTCAGCGTTGCGGGTTGCGCCACCATTTGTTGCAAGTCCAGGGATCGCGGGGCCACGCGAATCTTATCCCATTCTCTCAGACAGACCTCATCACATCTCAACTGGTTCGCGATAAAAGGCTCGTATTGCTTGAATGCCTCTTCGTGTTGTGTGAATAGTTCGCCCCAGTTCTGTCGCTCTTCTGGCAAAGCGTAGTGCTGCTCGATCCGAATCAAAAATCGCTGTGCGAAATCGAGGAGGTTATTCAGGTTCAAGAAGATTTGATGGCTATGGTCTCCTGTTAGGGCTCCCGTTTCTTCCAACTCCTTCTTCAAGGCTTGGAGATTCTGCAAGTGGTGGACATAGTCGCGCTCCGTTTCCAGCAACTCCTTGAGAATGTGTTCTCGCTTTGTCAGCTTCACGGCGCCTTTCACCGGAGCGCGTGCTGCCTCGTCCGACGGTCGCTTTAACTGTCCCTGCATCTCCAGGATGTCCAGAACACGATTCACCATCTTGATCACTTTGAGAAAGCCGGTGGTATTTTCCCCATACAAATCGGTGATTAGGAAGCAATCCTGTTGAGGAAACGCTAGTTCCTGCAGCGAGGCCTGCAGAAACTTGAAGGTGGCGGCCTTGGGTCGTTTGGCCTCGGGCACCTTGGCGGGATCAATCTCCAGGTTCTCATCTGGGCCCGAAGCGTTGTAGATGGCCAGGAGGGGGTATCCATTCCGCAAGCAATTCCACAGCGAGGCCACGGGATCGGTGTTGCCTTGCACGAGGTCCGCCTCCTCCATCTCTTGCAAATGAGGTTCGAAGTTGGGCACCTCTGCTAACCGCTTCTTGAGGTTGACGCAGCTCTGGTATATGGATTCACCGCCGCGGCGATTGATGATGTTGTCCTCGGCGATAGGACCGCCATTTGAGATGACGGTCTCGGCCATCGCGTATTGAGGCCGACTGGGACCGGGTTGAGGGAGAGGGGGGAAGGTTGAGGGGGGGAGTCGAATCTGCGCAGCAGATTAAGGGCAGGCGGGCGTGGACGGGAGCGACAGGCGTGGTTGCACAGGGAACAGCAAGAGGAGCATGGATCAATGAAGGCGAGCCGGTGGACCGATGCGGGATGAATGGGAACAAGCGAGCAGCTAGGGAAAGTTAGAGTGGAGATAGTGGTACGGTTCACTATCCCTAAGTGAGTCAGTCAGTTTATCCGCAAGCTGGTCTTCCGTGTCTCGACTCAGGAGCCGATCGGGGGATAGATAAGTACCTCTTGAACGAGAAAGAAAAAGTCGCGCGGGGAGGCGATCACGACAGAACGAAATCTCTCCTTGTGATCTTTTAATAGGTTGGGGTTTCTTTCTTTAGCGCGGCGAAGGGTGCCAGGCTTAAATCTCCGGCCCTTGCTGAAGACAGCGCCCCTCCTTTTTCTTTTTTTCTTTTTAGTCGAGTAAAATGCAGATTAGTAAAGATCGAAGGCCGAGAAGGTAAGCCAAAGGGGAAAATGATATTGTTGGATGAACAATTCAAAAAAAGAGAGAGGGCGGGTGTGGGGTTTGCCGCTGCATCCAGGCAGGCAAGCGCAAGTTGACTTTTGGAGGGGAGGGAGAGGAGTGGTAGAAAGGGAGGGAGGGAGGGAGGGATGGAAGGATGGAGACAAGAGTTGTGCTTCTGATTGTGGTTACAATGATGAGGGGGGGAGGAAGCCGAGAAGAGAGAGGGGAAGAGAGACGGAGAAGGGAAAGGCGGAATGGATCAGTCAGTCGTCGGGTTTGCCCCTCAACCAAGCGAGCTGAAGTTGGGGTCGAGGCAGATTAGAGAATAACTTAGTTGGTGTGAGTGGTCTTGTAGTGTTACAGCCGCGGCGGGAGGCAAAGAAACACCAAAGATTAAAGCAAAGGGAGTCCCAATGCACGAGGTCAATGACAAATTCAATCTAAAGGAAGGGAAATGAAGCAGAAGAGCAACAAGTAGAGATGAGAAAGAGAAAGAAAAGGGGGGGGGTGGAAAAGAATCCCGCGGCGGAAGAAGGAATAAAAAGGAGGGAGACTGATAAGTTTGGGTGTAGAAAGAGAGAGAGAGAGAGAGTATGAGATGGACGAGAGGCAAAAGGAGAGAGCAGTGGTCAAGTTAACGGAAGAATTTACCTGGTAGTAGCTAGCTGCGCGCGTCAGCTTCCCCCCCCCCCTCGACGCAGGAGATCCAAGTATTGTAGATCGATCGGTAGCTGTAGATTATAAAAGAAAGGGGGAAGAACCGACCAGAAGAATCAAGAGGTGTGGGAGATTGACAAGAATCGACACCAAGAGAGAAAGAGAAGGAGGGAGGAGAAGGAGGAGGAGGAGGGGGGCAAAATACTTGAAGGAGGGAGGGAGGAAAGAAAGATGAGTAGAAGTAAAAGTTGTAGATGATGGATGATCTCCGCAGGGAATCATCCGCCTGCATTTTTCTACGCGCCTCTATTCTGATTGTTCCACCCAGGCGGATTGGAAAGCATGAAGCCGAAGGATGGATCGCTGCATGAAGAAAACCTTCTCTCATACACCAACAGTTTGGGATTGAACAAGGGTATCATCTTCACATACTCGAGCATGGCTCGATGCTGACCGACTATCAAGGAGAATACCACTCAAAACATACCAAAACCTGACAGCCTCGTAGGGTAAGCAGCCGTTGTGAATGCCATTCTGTCTTACTCACTGATTATAGTTAGTTAGTTAGTTAGTTAGTTATTCTTTCTTTGATTGTAAATCAAGATGATGGATCTTCATGTGCTTCAATCTCACAGACTCACATCCCGTGTGTTCCTTACAGGGCTATTTGTTTTGCATCCCGTCGTCCGCTAACTTACCTGGTACTCTCCTTACTGTATGTACCCACAGGGGCAACGGTCAACCTCAGTAAGATGAAACAGGGACATTGACAGTGCAGTAAGTGCAGTAAGTGCAGTATAGTATATTTCACTGTAGTTAACTATTACTCTTGTTGAAGGGGATGTACTCCGTACATCATGGATGTACTTCCAAAGCCAGCCAATGTGCAGTGAAGGCGGAGTGGATCTTCGGCAACCCGCACCGTAACCCAATCGAGTCAATCTGACGTGACGAAGGTCACTTTCCAGTTTACTGCCTGACTCTACCGTCTGTCTCAGTCTCAGTCTCTCTCTCTCTCCTCTTCCTTTGCTACTACTACAGGACATCACTTCCAACAACTCTCCCAATATACCGTCATCCTCGAATCTATCCACTAAACCCTCCCCGAACTACCTCCGAACTCAGGGGTTTTTCTTTCACACCTTCACACTCTCCCCTCTTCTTCCCGGCCCCCCTCCATCCCTTTCCATGTGGTGTTTGCAAGACCCGATCTAGCTCCTTTCGCAACAACCGGCTGTTCTCCAGCCCATCGATTTACCTGAAACAAAGTCGGATGCAGGATTATTCATTCTCTGCTGTAAAGGAAACGGGAAAATCAGACACTGCGAGGAATCCCTGCAAGGTAGTGTGTCCTCATGGCTCGCAAGTCCTCGGGGTCCGCTTCTAGCCCTCGTCTTCCTCCGCTCCAACCTGCCGTCAACCACGCCGCCGACTTCGCCGCCGCCGACACCCCTTCGCTGTCGACGCCCTTCAAGCTCGACGAGGGTTACTCCGATGAGACGAAAACTCAGGTCGAGAAGAAGGACCTGGCCATTCCCGCGTCAGATGAGTGGATGACGCTCCAAGAGTGGGTTCTCACGCACAGCGAGGCGGAAAGAGCTGGTAAGTTTAGCAACGGACTCTTCCCGGTTCCCCGACCCGCAGCATGTCTTACCACCGTACTGGGGCCGTGGCGATCACCTTCCCATACTAATCAATCGTGAATGTCGTGATGCAGAGCTGGCCTATAACCTTCTTCGCACCATGCGCGCATCCACCGTGGCCTCCGTGATCGAGCGCCTGGCGCCGCGCCTGCACATGGATCCGGTGCTGAAACTCCCGCCCGAGATCACCTCCGAGATCTTCTCCTACCTCGACCCACAAACACTGCTGATGGCTTCCCTGGCCTCCCGTGCCTGGCGCAATCGCATTTCGGACTCGCGCCTGTGGAAAGACCTCTACATCAACGAAGGCTGGAGGGTGGATATGGACGCTGTCCGCACGTTTGAGCAGGAACACTCGGGACTTTCATCGCCACAGTTACGGAAATCCCGCTCGAGGCATACCGACCCGGATAGCGGGGAGCCGAAGCAGAAGAAGCGGGTACCACCTAGCTGGTTGAAGTCACGGACAACCGGATCGCTCGGTCGGAAAACGAGGCCGGAAAACGGGCAAAGGCATGCGGCGCAGGAGGCAGATAGTGAAGGCGACCTTCCCATGGGAGATGCGTCTACTGAGAGGAGGACGTTGTTCTCTCCGGAAGAGCAGACGACAAGCCCGAGCAAACGGCGTGAATCTTACTCCGGATCGACTCAGCTCAAACTCGGTGGAAATGGATTGTCAGCAGCTACGCGCCGTCCCAATTCATCGCTTCTGATCCGGATGCCCAATGGCGCGGCCAAAGTCAACTGGCTCCACCTCTACAGGCTACGAAGAAAGCTGGAAGAAAACTGGGCCAAAGGCCGTTTCACAAACTTCCAACTACCACATCCGGCACACATGGAAGAGGCCCACCAGGAGTGCGTCTACGCGATCCAATTCACCGGCAAATGGTTGGTCAGTGGCAGTCGGGACAAAACCCTAAGAGTCTGGGATCTAGACACGAAGCGCCTGTGGCACCCACCTCTGCTGGGCCATACAAAGTCAGTCCTTTGCCTACAGTTCGATCCTCGTCCCTCGGAGGATATCATCATTTCGGGCAGCAGCGACAAAAGCGTCATCATTTGGCGATTCTCCACCGGCGAGAAGCTCCATGAGATCGCAGCCGCCCATGATGATTCCGTCTTGAATCTTCGCTTCGACGAGCGGTATATCGTAACCTGCTCCAAGGACACGCTCATCAAGGTCTGGAGCCGGCACCAGCTCTCCCCAGCCGACAAGGACTACCCTAGCATGTTCTTCGGCACCGGCGTAACCTATCCGTCCTACATAATCGATACGGCGGAGATGCCCTCCCCGATGCTGGAAGCCGAACTCGCCAACGGCCACATCCGGAGCCTCGCCCCTTTCTCCCTCCTGATGACCATTGACGGCCACACCGCCGCCGTGAATGCCATCCAGCTCAACGAGGACGAGATCGTCTCCGCCTCGGGGGACCGGCTGATCAAGGTCTGGAACCTTCGCAACGGCGCCTGCAAGAAGACCGTCATCGGCCACGAGAAGGGCATCGCCTGTGTGCAGGTCGACAACCGCCGGATCATCAGCGGGAGCAACGACGACACCGTCCGGATCTTCGACCACGCCTCCGGCGCCGAAGTTGCCTGCCTCCACGGCCACGGCAATCTGGTCCGGACCGTCCAAGCCGGCTTCGGCGACCCGCCCGGCGCGGAGGAGACTCTCCGCCTCGAAGCCCTCGCCGTCGACAACGCTTTCCGCGACGCGCAGCGCTCGGGGGCCAACGTCGACCTCGGGCCCCGCGCCCTCCGCCGCGCCGGCTACACGCAGAACACCACCGGCTCCCGCGACCCCCGGGACATCAAGGCCCTGGGCGCGAAGATCCCCCCCGGCGGCGGCGGCAGCCGGTGGGCGCGCATCGTCTCCGGCTCCTACGACGAGTCCATCATTATCTGGAAGAAATGTAAGGAAGGCCGCTGGGTGGTCGGCCAGCGCCTGCGACAGGAGGACGCAGCTACCAGCGCCGCCTACGTGGTCTCCGACCCGGCCGCCCGCGCTGCTACCGCTCGATCGAACGCTTTCGCCCAGCAGCAACACCTCCAAACCCCTGGCGCAGCAGCAACACAGGGCCAACAAACCCCCACAGCCCCAGCCCCAGCCTCAACCTCGGCATCCCAGGCACCCCAAGCAGGAGGAGGAGGACCCCTCCAAACCCTTCAAGCCCTAACAGCCCGCCTAGCCGGCCAACCCCAGCAGCAACCGCAACCGCAACCGCAACCAAACCCAACCCCCAGAGCCCAGCCTCAACAAACCCAGCCCCAGCCCCCCATGAACGGCATCATCAACCCAGCCCTCCACCAACCTCCCCATCTCCCAGCACAACAACAACAACAAACCCACCCCCGCCCGCGCCACCACCCGCGCCACGACCGCGACGCAAGCGTCGTCCCCACCTCGCGCGTCTTCAAGCTCCAATTCGACGCCCACAAGATCATCTGCTCGAGTCAGGACCCGCGCATCGTCGGCTGGGACTTTGTCGGCGACGACGAGGAGCTGCGCGAGGCCTGCCGCTTCTTCATGTGTCTATGATTCCTTCCCTTCTTCTTGTGAAAGGGTGAATAGTCGATACGGTAGTCCCTCTGCGTGTGGGTCTGGTCAGGTCAGGCTTTAAAGGGATGGGATGATCCGAAGAAGCAACGTACCTTACCTAGTTGGTGCTTTCCCAGACAAAAAAAACAAACGAATCGCCGCGGATGTTTGTCGTTCTGCTTGCTTGCATATCATTGCTCCGGTCTGGGTTTGGTCTAGATTTGCATCGGGTTCTGGTCTGGGTATGGATCTAGGTCTAGATCTGGGTGGGACTCTGACTCTGACCTGGCAAGTACACTACTATACCCTCCTCGCGCGCTGGGCTTCTTTTCTATCTCCTCAATTCTTCACCTCGCTATCTCATCGTATCTCACGATTCGGGGTGTTCGGATTGAGAACAGTGGGAAGCGCGGTAGTGCTTCTCTATCTCTTCTCCATTCGGCATGTATCACTCATAGCGTGGTTGCTTATGTCCTTTTCTTTCTTTTCGTGATTTTTTGTTTCGTGTTGAATCATCCATTCAAAGCATTCGCGGGGCATTATTGGAGCGATGGAGTTGGAGTTCTGATCTGGGGCTCGTTTGTTCCATGACGTTAACCTCAATTACTTGGTTTGCATTACACATACTTCTTACTCCTTCCAATTTTTTTGTGGTTCTGCCAGACAACCATGATATGAGATTAATGATAGCGGTTAGTATTGCATCTTTTTAGGGATATGTACGTTCTTCGCGCGCACACACTGCATCACATTAAAACTAGCCTGAACAGCCATTTGAACTACACCACGGAGTAACTTCCACTAGCAGGGTGGACATAGCATGTAGCCTCCTCTGCCACGATCCCTGAAGAAAGCAACTGCTATTGAGCATCCTACCCCCCGCAACACCTCATCGACGGTTATCAATCCAGAATCCGACCGATGGTGCCAACATTCCGCAAGGCATATTCGTGAACTGACTTCCATGCTTCGGAGAACCATTGTATTGTGCGCGGGGCTGAATTTGGAGCTTCAGCTGTCTCATCTTCTCGATCCGGCTCTACGGCGATTTCATTCGATGTATGGCTCCGGGCAGTTTCATATGTCTCACGCGAAGATGTATTGGAGTAGACGGCAGAGTCTGGATCATTTCCGGCACCCAAGCAACAGGAGAGACAGGAATGACCTATTGATAGCAACTTCAGCCACGAGACAGACGGATTGCAGGCTAGAACGCAAGGATCCGGTCTGGCGGACGTCGTGGGTGATTCTGTAGGGATAAGAGAGCATGCAACCGGCTCTTGTGGTGCTATCTCGCACGCCTGACCATTCACGGTGCTCAAAGGCTGTCTCGAAGGCGCAGGCCTGAATAGCTGAGATGCGCATGTATAGAACGACTCCACCCTGCTCGTTGTATGACCGGTATTCGCCGAGCCAGGCCTCTGCAGGCTGTCATGGGCAGGCAGGCGAGACACTGAAGAGAAGCGACCGCGGGCCGAGTGATGACTCGCAACGGGGCCAACATATGCCGGGGTCATGCGCCAGGGAACTTCTCGCTGGGGACTGTTGCTCTGCTCTCTCTTAGGCTTCCTGTCTTGAGTGGGGCTGCTGAGATCGGGGGTGTTCTCCTCCAAGGCAGGCGAAAGCGCCCTCTGGTAGAAAGTATGGTCCTCCATTCGCCTGACCACACCAACACCATGTCCGCTCTGCCGGTAAGGAAAGCGACCCTGCACCGCCGTACCATCCTCCGCTCGTGCCACAGGAGGTGCTTGCTGTTGCGGCTGAGGAGGAGTGGAAGAGGTGAAGCTGAATATCCTGCGGATCTTGTCTCCATACGACGCCGTTCTCGTGCGCCCAGAGGCACCACCACCATCATAGAATCTACTCGACGAGCCACTCGCTGCCTGCGGATTCTGACTATCACCCACTGTGGCCGAGCGAACCTGGAACTGAGAAGAATAGTTCACAGCTTCGGGGGTGCCGAAAGTCGGGAGGCCAGGTGGAGTGGGCGACCTTATGGGCGGTGGAAATGCAGGATACACAGGATTGGCGGGACAGTCCTGCTCAGGCCAGTTGGATGACTTGGAAGCCTCGTCCGTATCATTGAGGCTGGTGGTGGGTTTGCGAAGGTGCAGGACGTCGAAGAGGTTCGGTTTCAGCGACTCGTCCTGGGGCGCTGCGACGATCGCTCGGCCTTCGTTGACGGACAAGATGCGACTGTTGTTGGCAGTGTAAGGATGCCAGCCTGGAGACGATGTTTCCTTTTCCCTGAGATATCGAGGTTGTCGGCACGGCTGTGGTTGTTGTTGTTGCGGTTGACGTGAACGCCCCGTGTCCTGCGCCGTCGGAGGAGGAGGGAAGGTCGTTGTGTGGGCTACTAGCCTGCTATCTAGATCTCGGTGTATTTGCCTAGCTGAGCCCTGTCGATGCGAAACCTCATCCGAGCTCGAATATGCCCTGATAGCGTCGAATATGTAACTCTCCTCACTAGGAATAGAGTCCGCGAATTCCAGGTGGGAGTAACGCGCCATGCTAACAGCAGCTGCTCGTCCGGAAGAGAAGACCTCGTCGTTGCCAGGAAAATCACTTTGATGCCCCTGCCCTTGATCCTGGAGAACCATACTGCAAAGAAAGTAAAGGAGGCATTCGTCTAATTAGGTCGGAGCAGAAGAAAGGAGCATGACGTCGAGAAGTTGATCGAAGCTGGAAATGATGCAAGTCTATATAAGGCTATCGCGCTTTCCGTGGATAAAAGGAAGGCGCGACAGAAGCAGAAGGAACAGAGGAAAGGTTGACAACCACTGTCAACTCATGTATGCTTAGGTATGTATGCAAGGCTCGCTGATAGACTCTAATCTATGTACACAGACAAATCAGGTACCGAGAAATGGCCGGGAAATTAGTACATCAAGATCGGGTGGGATATACAGGCAGAGATTAGGAGGGGGCCTAAATTATGTACGGGAAAGGAATATTAACAACAAGCCTAGGAATCGGCTGGAAGCGATTGATCGGGCTTGAAGCAAAGAGAAATGAAACATAGGGAAGGATCGTGATCATGAGGCTGTGACGACAGGCTGACCCAAGGGAGGCTTGCCAGTCAAGGTCGCAATATCCTTGTTCAGATTTCGGATTTGAGCCTCCAGCCGACGGCGTTCGTCGTGTTCCGCCTATGTGTGATGCTGTCAGCTAGAAAGCACATGGAAGAGAGGATTGCGCCATTACATACCTTGCGTATCTTCAGGTTCTCGGACCGCGTGTCTCGCATCATCTTCTTGAATTCATTCTTGAGCACCATGGTGGAAGTGGTCTCATGGCCATCGCGTCCGCTGCCCATCCAGTTGATTCGTTCTTCATTGAGCTGCGTCTCCAGTTGCTCACAACGGTCGCGCAGGGTATCAATGACTCCCTCGAACTGCTCGCGTTCTTTTTCGAACTCGATGCTGGCCTTGGTCATTACTTCGTAATCGTCCACCGTATCTCGGAGCTCTCTCTCCAGCAACTCCACCCGATGCTGGAGATCACCACCAGGCTTGCCCGCCTTGAGGGCTGCAAGCTCTTCGGCCAGCTCCAGGTTTCGCGTGTTCAGCTCGTCAAACTCCTTCTGGATGGCAGGATTCGCTGCGATGTCGGCCGCTCGCTGGGCTCGCGACCCATAGGCACCGTCCAGCTCCGCCTTGGCCATCGTCAGCTCGGTCTGGGCACGGACGACTTCACCCTCCATCTCTCTCAACTCAGCCTGCAGACGTGAGGTGTTGTTTTCTGCTTCAGCGCGCGCCACGGTCACTTCCGTGACGCGAGACTCCAGAGCTTCGACGTCGGCACGGAGCTGGCCTGTAACCGTCTCTAGCCGTGCCACCTCGGTTTCGGCGTTGATGCGTGCATCTGTAGCCTCTTTCAGCTGAGATTCCACACTGGCGCGGAATTGGCCCATGGATTCTTCCAACCGAGCAACCTCACTCTCGGCTCGCGCTCGGGCGTCGACGGCCTCCTTGACTTGGGCGTCTGCCTCGTTGCGGGTCTGCTGGAGCGTAGTTTGTAATTCCAAGATCTGCTGCTCGGCGTGCTGTTGGGCTTCCGTGGCCTCCGCTTGGTTGTTTGCCGTACTCTGAAGTTCATCGATAATTTCTTGAAGACGCGTGATTTCACCATCGGTCTTTGAGCGCAAGGTAGTCAACTCCTCCGTGTGAGCGTCGGCTTGTGATTGAAGCTGTTCCTGATGAGCTTCTGTAAGCGCTCTGCTCTTGGAATCGGCTTCCTCCCCATGTTGATCGAGCACTGCTTGTAACCGAGTGGCTTCACTCTGATGCTGCTCAAGCGCCGCCTGCAACTGGGTAGCCTCGCTCTGATGTTGGTCAAGGGCCGCCTGCAACCGTGTTATTTCACTCTCCGCCGCGGAACGTGCAGTGGTGAGCTCTTCTAGGCGAGCTTCATGGTGGGATTGGATTTCTCCAATGTGGGCTTCCAGACGAGCGACCTCACTCTCGGCTTGCGCACGGGCCTCATGAGCCTGAGTCTGAGCATCCTGTTCCCTGTTGAGATCTTCCAGGACCTTTTCCAGGCGTTCAACCTCGGCTTCGGCGCGCGCACGAGCTTCCTGCTCCGTGGTCAAAGCCTTCGAGGTATCCTCCATGACGTGCTGTTCTTGATGGTCTGCCAGCTCTTTTTGCAGGGTTGTTACTTGTTTCATCGCGTCTTCCAGATCATCTCTCGTTCGTTGGCCCTCGTTCTCGGAGAATTCGAGGTCTTTCCGCACATGCGCCAGTTGTTGCATCAGGTCCGCGATGTGTGCATCTCTCTCCGCGTCGGACTTGGAGTTCAATTCGCGCTGCTGTTGAATTTGAGTGGTCAAGATGCTCTTGTGCTCGAAGAGCTTCTCAAGTCGGTCTTCCAGCCCATTGAGGCCGGCATGTAGGTAGGAGAAATGCTCCGTCTGGTCTGCGCTGGCAGAGTCGGGCGGCGGAGGAAGAGTCTGGGCGCCCGGCATGCCCGATTGCTGGACAATCTGATGTAGTCGCGCGTTGAGCTCGCCGAGCTGCTGCCCGGAGTCATCATCCAAAGACCGTGTCTGAGACTGGTTGCCTGCGGGATGCGCACTGAGACTTTCGAGGCCACTCTCAATATAGGCTACGTATGCTTCCATCGCTGCCGTCGGGGTAGCCCCTGGGGGCGGCTGCGGCACTGGTTCGAGCTCTCCAGCAGGATTGGACTGTAGGGTCAAGTCATACACCCTCCCACTTAGATACTCCAACCGTTTCTCAGTATCCTGAACAGCCTCCAACCCAAGTCCATGCAGCCCCTGTCCGGTGTGCTCTTCCAGGTGACCCGACGGCTTGTAGAAACTCCGATCATCAAACCCATCGATACTATCCCGGGTGTTGTGGCTAGACAGACTCTCCGGGGTGTGGGGCACATTATTCTTGAGGTTCTTCTTCAGACCCTTGTGCGTCATCTGCAGGATCCCAGCCGTGTGCTCCAGCAGCCGGCTATTGACCTGCTGCAAGCGGCGCTCCAGGTCCCAGATCTCCTGCGACAGCTCCTCGCACTTGCGGGTGCTCAGCGCCAGCTCTTCGTCCGTCTTGTCCATGGTGGTCTCATTGGGTCCGAGCAGGCTTCGTTGGGATCTCGGGGAGGAGGCTTCGGGGTCCTCCCGGCCGTTGAAGGAGGGACTCTTGGGCGTGTACAGCCGGCTCAGCGACATGGCGGCATCGCGCAACTTCGTCTCCAACGCCAGTTTGCGTTTCGCGGCGTTCAAGCGACTGTTGACGAACTTTTGCTCCTTCTTCAGTCCCTCCACTTCCTCCAGCGACAGGATTTCGTAGTGGGTGCTGTCGCTCATGGCGGTCTCCGTGAGCAGGTACATGGCGACGGGGTCATGGGTGTGGAGCGCGGCGGAGTTCCGGGGAAGGTTCGTGTTCAGCTGCATGGGCACGATGGAGAATAAGTATGCGATTATGTCCAAAGATTGAAAGTTAGGGATCTCACGAACCGGGTTGACTTGCGACTTGCCCAGTGGCTGCTGGGGTCCGGACGCATCGCGGTAGCCGTTCATCAGCACTCCGGTTGGGGGCGGTTGCGAAGCGCCGTAGGAGGCTGAGTACCTGGGGTCGCCGTACGAGGACAGGCTAGACCTGACATCGAGGCCGTCGTTCATGGTGGTAATGTGTTACGATTGTCGAAGAATGTCGGGGAGAGAGAGGGACTTGAGGAGCAGGTCGGGGCGTTTAAAATGGAGACTCGCGGATCAACAGGCAAGGCCCATCGTCCGCAGTGGCAGCCGTGGACACCGTCCCCCCAAGGCAGAGAAGGGAGGGAGGGGTTCGTTTGGAGGGAGATTGAAAGAATGAAGGGAAAATAGATAACAGAAAATATCAAGGTAAGGGAGAGACAAACGCTCAATACGATTGAATTAATTGGTACAAGGAAGGGAGATGGAGGGGAAAGAAGAGGGAGCGGAGGGAGAGAGGGAGAGAGAGAGAGAGAGAGAGAGAGAGAGAGAGAGAAAGGGACTGGAAGAAGGAATACTAAAAGATCAGCACCAGCCGACCGGAGCATACAAGAAAAGAACTAAAGCGATCACCACTCAGTGGGACTGCATCTGAATTATTTAAACTACTCAAGCTGTGACCGGTCAGGAAGGTGCAGGTGCAGGTGCAGAGATGGATGGATGGCTCCGATGCGATCGCTCTTCTTCACAGTTGACGCCATCCATCCTCCTCGACAGCTCTCATTCCTTTGTCCCCCTTGGGAAATCCATTCTTCGCTTCCTCCATCCCATCCTCCAGGCTGCCATCCCAACTTTTTCCCCCAGCTGCAGCTGAGACCCCAGCCGCTGTCATGGCAGGAGTTTGACAGCACCCAAAAAAAAAGTGGAATGTCTGTCTGTCCATGAAGAACTCCTCTGAATTGGATTGGATTGGATTGGATTGGATTTTCTATTATTAACCCCCCCCCCGGAATTTCCCCTGAAACAACGGATTCCTCGGTTGAGCTCCACTGCCGCCATCCTTAATTCTCAACCACATGAACCACATGGTAGAAAGAAGTTCTTGGAAAAGGGTGATCGTGAAGAAAGGCCGGAGGAGAATACGCAGCTGCCGGCCGAAGATCTTCTCTTCGAGTCACTCACTCGGGATTTTCGGGGGAAATATCGCGCGCAGATGATTGATGATTGTGATACGTAAGTTACATATCACACTCGATGGGATGAACCGAGATTAGACTACAAGTTCAACATTCTTGGCAGTGCTGTGCATGCTCTGTTGATGTGCTAATGGAAGAGACTCAACCCAATCAGTTCCAGTTCTTTGTCTAACTTACTTCAAGGTTCTTATATAACATGGTTCAACCCACCAAGGCTACCTGCCCAACTTCATTCGTCATAGCATCCATGATAGCAACCAGAACCACACTCTCAAAATTGAGATGGGAGAGAGGATGTAACATCCATCTCCAGATGTAACCACAATTAACCACAACCAGCCTGACTTTCGGCTCAATTGAAACAGCCCAAACCCCCCAGAGCCGGTTGATCTGCTTCAACCTGTCTGGATTGCGCCCGCAAAGGCCGCGCAAATCACAAGCAGCCGAGCATGCGATTTAATATAAAGTAACCGCGTGGAATCAACCACTGCACCACTGCACACCACTGCACCAACCAGCCTATCAGCCATTTATCTCTGCTGGGTTTCCCCTCCCCCGGATTTCTCTCTTCCCCTCATTTTCACCTCCTCATTCCATTCGGTTCTGGTGTCCACACGAGATCATGGCCACGAGGAATGTTGAATCGGGGACGGATGCGCTCCCTCCATCGGGACTGGTCTACAAGGTCTACAAGCGACGATTTTGGGGGTTGATCCAGCTGGTTCTGTTGAATATCGTCGTCAGTTGGGATGTAAGTTGCAAGTGCGTAAATGTAAAGCAAAAAAACCCCCACGCTCTAACATCACGCGACAGTGGTTGACCTTCTCTTCGATCTCGACCACCGCCGCCGAGCACTTCAAGGTCTCGGAGAGCGCCATCAACTGGATGAGCACCGGCTATCTCTTTGCCTTCTGCGCCGCCAGCCCGTAGGTTCACTTTTCATAGTTCATCACCCAAATAGCATGGGCACCAAACAGCACGCACCTAACTCGGGACTCTCCCATCCAGCGTCGTCATCTTTACCCTCAACAAAGGCGGCCCCAAGCCCGCTATCATCATCACCTCCACTCTGCTGCTGGCCGGCAATTGGATCCGATATGCCGGCACGCGAGCTCGTGGCGGGATATTCGGGGTGGCCATGTTCGGCCAGATCCTGATCGGCCTGGCGCAGCCATTCTGTCTCAGTGCACCGACCCGGTACAGCGACCTCTGGTTCTCCGATCAGGGGCGCACGAGCGCGACGGCCGTGGCGACGCTCGCCAACCCCCTCGGCGCAGCTCTGGGGCAACTCATCGACTCGTTCTGGGCCACCGAGCCCGACGACGTCCCCAACATGGTGCTGTACATCTCGATCATTGTGAGCTTTCCACCCTCTGTCCACCCACCGCGTGACCAACACTCACCCCCACAAACAACAGGCGACAATCGCATCACTCCCATCCTTCATCCTGCCCTCCGCACCACCGACCCCGCCCAGCGCCTCCTCCGCCAGCCACCAGAACACCAACACAAGCGAACCGACCCCACTCCTCCCCACCGTCACGCAACTCCTGCGCACCCTCGAATTCTACCTCATCCTGATCCCCTTCTCCATCTACGTCGGCTTCTTCAACAGCGTCTCCTCGCTGCTGAACCAGATCCTCAGCCCCTACGGGGCCAGCGAGACCGAAGCCGGGATCGCGGGCGGCATCCTGATCGTCGTGGGGCTGCTGGTCTCGGCGCTCATCTCCCCGATCACGGACCGGTACAAGCACTACCTGGCCACGATCCGCATCCTGGTCCCCATCGTCGCCGCCTCGTACATCGGGCTGATCTTCGCCCCGGCCAGCCGCGCGGGCATCGGCCCCACGTACGCCGTGTGCGCCCTGTTGGGTGCCTCCTCGTTCGGCCTGCTGCCCGTCGTGCTCGAGTTCCTCGTCGAGATCACCTACCCGTTCTCCCCGGAGGTCGGGAGCACCCTCTGCTGGACGGGCGGGCAGCTCCTGGGCGCCGTCTTCATCCTCGTGCAGGACGCCCTCAAGGCCGGGCAGCACGCCTCCCCGCCGGAGAACATGCGGAACGCGCTCATCTTCTCCGCCGTCGTGGCGGCCGTGGCGGCCCCGCTGCCGCTGTGCATCGGGCTGTTTGGCCGCGACGTGCGCCGCAGGCGCTTGGACGTGGATCGCGGGGTGGATCTGGGGGAGGTCGTCGGGGACGATGATGAGACCATTGACAACGACGCGGACGCGGACGCGGACGCGATCCGTCGCGGGGATCCAGCTGGCAGTGCCGGCGAGAAAGGGAAGTCCAGATTCAAGTGGTCGGTCTCCTCGAGACAATAGTGTGTTGCAGGAACAGCGGTTGTAGTAGGGGGGTGCGTATGTGTTTTGCTCGCATGGCTGGGCACAGGCCCTGTCCCTTACACAAATCGGTCGCCATGTTCTGACGAATGCCGGTGACTATCACACCCCCATTGAATCTGCAGCCTGGAGTTCGCAGATGGACCGCGAAGAGGTGAACTACGACCCATGATGATTATATGATTGATACCCGACATTGAATGCGAACCCTAGTATATTGATGTCCTTATCAGTGTATAGTGCTATTTCAGTCTGCGAGCCTGCGATGCTATGCATTTCAATGCCCCAAGGTTTAGAACCTACCTTCCAAGAAACAGACCAGACCAGTAGACGCCCGGCAAATAATACCCTGACAACGCTAGAGCAGGTCGTTCACAAATCTAGCGGCCCTGGCTCAGCCAGCCATGGTTTTGCCAAGTTCCCTTCTCACTTGGTGGGCGTGCACGGAGCAAAAGCGCCCGCTCTTCGTCCGGCGTGGGCAGAGCTGATATTCGGTCTCGACTGGGCGGATGCTGACTTGGATGGCTTGAAAGTGCATTGCGGTGAAAAGAGATAAGGCTTCAGGCTGCCAAGGAAGTTATCAGCGGTATTGACTGCGGCGTTGAGCGGCGACGAGACAGGGCGCAATGTCAGCGGAGGTGGATGAACAACACAGCAAGAGGTAGACCGAACAGACACGTCCTGCCCCGCAGGGGCATCAAATACACAAACCCAATCTAGAAAGCACAATTCACATTCATCTAAAAACAAAAGAGACCAAGTAAATATAGTAAAAGCACAGTTCAAACAGGCAGAGACCAGCTATCTGTACATACACAGTAAAAGGGATTCTTGATCCAAATCCCTTTTTCCCTTCCTCCCCAGCTCACAATCAGACGAAAAGAACAGGAAAAGAGGTAGGTTTCTCCCCCTTCTATTCGTGTTCATCTATCCATGTAGCAGATGAAAAAAAAAACCAATAAGTATCTCCAAACCCTGTCGTTTCAGTGGCAGGGTTGACAGACACAATTTTTTTCCCTCACCCTGCAACAACAAAAATCAAAGCCATCATACAACACTCTGAACCTGAAACGGAAACGGTTGTCTTTCTCGGGTACGCGATCGGTCTTCCCCTATTTCGTCCCCGCGCGAGGGTTTCATTCCGTCGTTGTTATACAATCGAGACTGAGCTTAGCGGTGGTCATGACAATTTTGAAAAGACACATCGCGCGGCGGAGGGAAAAGAGGGGCGAATCGTTGCGTGCGCAAGGCGTAGCCCGTTTAGGCGAGCTGCTTCCAGAGCTTGGGGGCGGCGCACTGGGTAGCGCAGTGCGTGAGGTGGAAGACTGTTGGTTGGAAGAGAGAAAAAGATGATTAGTCACACGCGGACATCCAGCGGCCATCTGGGGGTGCCTTCGTGAAAACAGGAAAGACAGATAGACGTACACTCCTCAACGCAGTCCTCCTTGGGACCCTTGTAGTCCTCATCCTCCTCCTGCTTGGTTACGCGCTCGATGCACTCATCGAAGTGGTGCTTGTAGGGGGCGCACTGGGCGGACTTGGCGCACTCTGCAGTTTGGGGTTATAAAGGTCAGCAAAACTGTCCAATTGAGTCTGAGACAAGCATGGAGTTGCGCGAGTTCGATGCAGTGCCAATGACGCTGAATCAGCGGATGTTGTGCTGGTCGATTCCCGTCAGGAAGACTGGCGGACGGCAGGAATTGGGTGCTTGTCTGACATGTCAAGGACAAGCCATTGCCGCGGCGGAAGTCCAGAGTTGGCCCAACATCGAGCTTCAACGCAAACAAAATGCAATAGAGAAGTCGATCCAAGGATAATTAAACTCACCCTCCTCGAGCTTGGGCTTGATGTCCTCGGGCTCCTCCTCCTCTTCCTCCTCTTCTTCTTCCTCCTCCTCTTCCTCCTCCTGGGGCTCCTCCTCCTCGGAAGACTCCTCGGCGGGGGTCTCCTCGGCGGACTCCTCGGTGGACTCTTCGCTGGAAGCAGCAGCCTCCTCAGCGGGCTTCTCCTCGGAAGACTCAGCCTCCTGGCTGCTGGTCTCCTCGACGGACTCGGCGGGAGCCTCAGCCTGAGCCTCGGGGAAGCCGAAGGAGGAGATGACGTCGGAGAAGAAGTCGGCGAGACCCATTGTGTTCGTGTGGGGAGGGAGGAAACTGGTCAATTGATGACTACCGGGGAGAGCCTAGGGTTGGCGAAGGTGTGGGGGTGGTGGTGGTGGTGGTGCGGTGGGCAGCAACGAGCGAGTTTGGATGAGGTTGGCGGTTTTGAGCTTTGGCACTTCCTTTGCCGTCTGGGAAAATCGGAACGCCCCGGCCGCCGGCGAAAGGCCAATTATCGCACCCATGATTGGCCGATCCTTGTCGGAAGGGAGATGACTAATCGCTGAACTACAGAATGGAATTACCCATACTCAAAATGCCAGAAGATAGTATACAAGCCATCTAGAATTGATTGTTCCTTTTTCTCTTCTTTTCTCATATGCAACGTCTGTAAGCCTTCATCAACTGGCCCGGCGCAGTCTTGCCTCCACTTCATCCGCCACGCTTTGCTGCTGGACCGTCTCATAGTCCGGCGGTGGTTCCACCATGGAATCTGTCTCTGCTGCATGAGGCTGACTCTGTGGACTCATGCATTGGTCCTGGCTGGCTTGGCCTTCCCCAGCATCATTGTTAGAGGGGCCAGAATAAGCTGGCAGCTCGTCCAAATGAATCGTGGAGAGGTCAACGTTCCTGGCTCCGCGACTGCTTGCTTGCGAGTTCTCGACCGCCTGCTGTAGACGCTCCTTGATTCGTTCGAAATGATTATGGAAGTCGAATGCGCCTCCTTCTTTGAAAGTCACCTTGACCTGTACTGCAGGCAAGGATGGAGGGATCCCGCCTCCCGACACGGGCTGGACCAGGGCGATCCAGGCATTTGGCCCAAAGAACGGAGCAGTGACGTGGGTATCATGAACATTTAGCAGCGGCGCAGAGAACGACTGAAACGTCTGCGAATTCTGTATCGGAATGTAGACAACCTGCCCAACTTACGTCAACCAAGAATCCCAGACCAGACCCCTGCAAGGTAAGTGAGGAGATGGTAATACCCTTTGGTTCGTCAAAAAGATTTGACCAGCACTGCTTTGGATGGAAAATGAGTTTTTGCCTCCAGATGAGCTCAGCGGCTGTAGCGCGAGGCTGGTGCGAGGTGGAGATGTATAGATCAGTTGCTCATGCGGTAGGCGGACAAAGCCATCCTGGTCATGGAGCATCACCCAGCTGTGCAATCACAAGTCAGACTAAGAACATCATAACACATGGTTTAACGATGAATGCAGTAGCATCGATGGTAGAGCAGAGGCAACCGGTGTCAGACCAAGGCTAGCGATCCTTCATATGTTGATGGTGTAGAGAAAGCCCAAGAGGCTGTTCCCCCGGACAAATAATTATAAGCAAGCGGAGAATGAGGAAGTCATATACATACTTGATCGACATAATGGCCTAACTATTGAGGCTGGATGTATGGTTTGATCTTGCAGATTATGGTGTTGTCTGGATGTACGGAGAAGTGACGGCAGTAACTTGCGTAGTTGGAATAACTGAGAGAAAGGACTGAGGATGTGAAGCCAGCTCCAGGGCAACCCAGGCTGAAACAACCGACAAACGGGAAGCCACAGGGGCAGGCTGTTGATCCTGAGGTCGCGAGTTCGAGATCGGTGAACAGATGAATTAGGATGTATGGTTGGTGATCCCCTGGCTGTTATGCAATAATCTGTAGGTTGGTGGTAGTATATCAGATCCGAGTTCTAGAAGTCCGATCGAATAGAATAGGATAAACTGCGGACAGGGACCGGACCGGATCAAACAGCCACCAATAAAGATAGGTGAACAGTGAGCCTAGATGAACCAGTGAATATGACGAGAAGATCCCTGTGCTTTTCAGATGCTTGGGGAGTCACTTTGCGTACAGTTCAGATTGATAGTGGTGATTGATGATTAGGATAAGTGGAAGTGCAGTTAAAAGGCACGGTGGGAATTGTTCATGTAATACTGGGTCCGCGGGGCGGCCGTCAGGCGGGGAACCTCCCAATCTCCCAATCTCGCAGAGTCATCTGAATACTAATACTCTTTCCAGATTGTATGAGTAGAGCGGATTTTCTTCTCTACAGTTGCCTTGTCCTACTCACTGCATCGACGTATCCCTAACTTGGCCAAGGTTGCCTTTGAGCTGCACCTAGCAATCTAGTCACATCCAGACCACTTCTGAGCCTATGAATTCTGCAGAGAATGTTCGATGCTATAGTTAGTGTCTGATGATCCTCTAGAACTTCTTCGCGGAACTGCATACTACTGTACATATTGTACTAGACACTGAAATTACACATGCTATAATACATGCACTATTCTACATTCAATGCCCACCTACCTACCTACCTACCGCAAGGATTTCAGAAAGGCATTCCTTCTGTCGGCAAGCGTCTCTAAATGAAGCTTAGAAGAAGCAGCCACCCACATCACTCCCTACTTAATGGCACACAATTTGGGTTGAGGAACGACTGAAGTATTAAGCTGATCTTTATTCATAGCTTTCTTCTTATTCTGACAACATGCTTGGGGGGTGGACGGCCTTGTCTACCCACCGCGGGGGGCCGAAAAGGCAAGAGGGAAAATGGAAAGTGGAAAGAAGGGTGATTTACACGTGGAGAAAGCCGTCGGATCCTCCAGTTTTGTTGCCCAGTGCCGACCCACACACAGTTTAACTTACAGGTTACGTTTCCGGTTTCCCCTTCGGTGTTTCTCCCTTGGCTCATTTATCTTCGCCTCGGTCAGTCGGTCGGTCAGCCTTATTCCAATTGCTTGATTCCCCCAGATTCCTCCTGCCTGGATTGACTTCGACATTGACTTCATCATTATTTCTTTTCCAATTGAGTGTGTTGCGTGGCCTGGTGACCGCCTGCCTGCCTTTGCCACCAGAAATTTCCCACCTTAAAACAGAAACAGTGTAGCCTGACGGGCACGGTCCTATCGGTCAAGGACCACATTGCGATACTTTCTTCTACCTCATATTCGAACTCTATTGCGGACTGGCAGTTTCTCCAGTCTTTCTACCGTTGATTCCGAACCTGGTCCTCCTGTGTACCGTACGTCAATTGTGGTAACTTGGACCAAACGCCGCAAGTACCGACTCGGCCATCCCCTTTCTCCGTCCGTGTCGCGAACTCGAAATCCCGAGGCCGCTCTTCCTTCGTCGTACCAGTTTTGTGTCTTGCCAAACGAGAAACAAGAAAAAAATGTCGACCTCGATACACCTGTCGCGGTTCAGGAAATGGCTTCTGGCCTCTCCGCCAATGGAGTTTGTCATTGCGCAACTCCGGGAGTTGTTGGTTGGGGCAATCAAGCAGGGTCCAGTTCCACAGCATATCGCGTTTGTCATGGACGGGAACCGGAGATTTGCGCGGTCACATGGCATCGAGACCGTGGAGGGGCACAATATGGGCTTCGAGGCCCTGGCAAGAGTGAGTCGTTGCTCCGGAGTCGTCACGTTCTTCATCCATGCTACTGAGCTCTCGCTGACTTTTTTTTCTTTCTGATTGGCTTTGCAGATCCTCGAAGTATGCTACAAGAGCGGAGTCAAGGTAGTTACGATTTATGCCTTCAGTATCGAGAACTTCAAGCGGTCGAAGTTCGAGGTGGACGCCTTGATGGAGATGGCGCGGGTCAAGCTGTCCCAGATGGCGCAGCACGGAGAGATATTGGATCGGTATGGTGCCAAAGTGCGGGTACTGGGCCGACTGGACATGCTGAAGCCCGATGTCCTTGCTGCCGTCAACCGGGCGGTCGACATGACGAGCGGGAACGGCGAGCGCATCCTCAATATCTGCTTTCCGTACACCTCGCGCGACGAGATCACGGGAGCCATCCGGGATACTGTATCGGAGTACAGCCAGCCGCTGCCGGCGAACCGCCCGTCGAATGCCAGCCAGCGTACGCCCTTCTCCGAGACACACATCACGCAGAATATCCGAGCCCGGGCGCAGCACACCAAAGCGGACGATCTTCCCAGTGACGTTGAGACCGCGTCGGAATCGTCTAACGAGGACGGTGCCCCTGCAAACAACCTTCCGAACCAGGTCTACGAGTCCGGGTCTTCGTTTTCGTCCTCCTCCACCCTGCATCTGGGCGGGCAGACGGACGCGGCCAACGGAAGGGAGAATTCGCCCCGGAAGGAGAAAGCCGTGTACATGTCCCCCGAGACGATAACCCGGCAGACATTAACCGAGCACATGTTCACGGGCGACAATCCTCCCTTGGATTTACTGGTCCGCACGTCGGGCGTGGAGCGGCTCAGCGACTTCATGCTCTGGCAATGCGACGAGGAGACGGAGATCGTCTTCCTCGACGTGCTGTGGCCGGACTTCGACCTGTGGCATTTCCTGCCGGTGTTACTAGGCTGGCAGCGTCGGATTTCCAAGGCGAAGAAGAACCCGGACGCGGAAGGCGACTTCGACGGGGAGAGCTACGAGCCCACCGAAGAAAGCAATGGTAAGGTCAAGGGCTTGTAGTCGGAATTGCGATTTGCACATATATCATCGAGAACACCCCCAGGAGTTTGGAGTTGCTTTTTTGACGCAGCAATTGGAAGTGATATTCCCCTTTGTTTCATCCCCATCGTTTGGTACTCGTTCATAGCGCAGCAGAGGTAGAAAAGTGAACCATGGGCGTGGCGTGTATATACGCATGCATACAGAGAGACAGACAGACATACACACATAGACCAGAGATACAGTACACATGCAGCATACAAGCATGCAAGCAAAGCATAAATTGATCCACTGACTCGGTGCAAATCATCACTCATACGGTGTATAAATAGGGCGGGTCTTATCTCCCTGAGTCAGTGGCAACAGCAAATAGAACTGCGTGGATGCGCCGTGCTCCGATACCGGTTTGCACGTGACTCGGAGCGGCGGGGAAAGGTGTGGCAGCTACAGTAACGTTAGTAACCCTGGGGTCAATGACCAGGCCATTCGACTTTGACTTTTCTTCTTCTCTTTTTCTTTCCCATCTGGATCATCTTCTCCCTTCCCATTGACCGTCTATATTCTTTCACAATGGCTATCGCAGGCTCCAAGGTTCTCCTGCTGGGCTCCGGCTTCGGTATGCTCTGCCCTCTCCGCAATGCGGGGTGACTCACTCACTTTCACTTTCACTGCCATTGACACTGATATCGGGAATAGTGACCAAGCCCACCGTCGAGGTTCTCAGCAAGGCCGACGTGCACGTCACCGTCGGTAAGCCATGACCCCCAACCCCTAACCCAATCCTCAAAACCCAGAACTAACCCCCCTCCAAGCCTGCCGCACGCTCGAATCCGCCCAGAAACTCAGCGAGGGGTTCAAAAACACGACGGCGATCTCGCTGGACGTCAACGACGATGCGGCGCTCGACCAGGCACTCGCCAAGGTCGACCTGGCCATCTCGCTGATCCCCTACACCTTCCACGCGCAGGTCATCAAGGCCGCCATCCGCACCAAGAAGCACGTCGTGACGACCTCGTACGTGTCGCCGGCCATGATGGAGCTGGACCAGGCCGCCAAGGAGGCCGGGATCGTCGTCATGAACGAGATCGGTCTGGACCCTGTACGTTTGCCTTATCCTTCCTTGCCCTTACCTTGCCATTAACCAGAGTTTCCCTTTCCCCCTGCCTCCAACCCCCAAACCCCGAACCCCACCCAATCCAAATACTAACAAGAAAAAAAAGGGAATCGACCACCTCTACGCGGTGAAGACGATCTCGGAAGTCCACGCCTCGGGCGGCAAGATCACGAGCTTCCTCAGCTACTGCGGCGGGCTGCCGGCGCCGGAGTGCTCGAACAACCCGCTGGGGTACAAGTTCTCGTGGTCGTCGCGGGGGGTGCTGCTGGCGCTGCGCAACGCGGCGAAATTCTACCGGGACGGGGAGGAGTTCAGCGTGGCGGGCCCCGACCTCATGGCGACGGCGAAGCCGTACTTCATCTACCCGGGGTTCGCGTTCGTGGCGTACCCGAACCGGGACTCGACGCCGTACCGCGAGCGGTACAGCATCCCCGAGGCCCAGACCGTGATCCGGGGCACCCTGCGGTACCAGGGCTTCCCGGAGATGATCAAGACGCTGGTCGACATCGGGTTCCTGGACGACACCCCGCAGGAGTATTTGGCCCCGGGCGCGAAGATCAGCTGGAAGGAGGCGACCCAGCGGATCCTGGGCGCCACGTCCAGCAGCGAGAAAGATCTGGAGTGGGCGATCGCCAGCAAGACGCAGTTCGCCAACAACGACGAGCGCAACCGCATCATCTCCGGGCTGCGCTGGATCGGCCTGTTCTCCGACGAGCCCACCAGCACCCGCGGCAACCCGCTGGACACGCTGTGCGCCACGCTCGAGCAGAAGATGCAGTACGGCCCCGACGAGCGCGACCTCGTCATGCTGCAGCACCGCTTCGAGATCGAGCACAAGGACGGCGCCAAGGAGACCCGCACCAGCACCCTGTGCGAGTACGGTGTGCCCGGCGGCTACTCCGCCATGGCCAAGACGGTCGGCGTCCCCTGCGGTGTTGCCGTCAAGTTGGTGCTCGATGGCACCATTAGCCAGAAGGTTTGTCCCCCCCCCCCCCCCCCCCCTTCAAAAAGAAAGGATAGAAGCTAATCGGTGATTGCGGGCGGTAGGGTGTCATCGCTCCCATGACCATGGATATCTGCACGCCTCTCATCAAGGCCCTCAAGGAGGACTACGGCATCGAGATGATCGAGAAGACTTTGTAAACATTTCAAACAGACGTTCTTCTCGCGTGTGTGTTACGAACTCAATTAATGACGTGAAAATGGCCCGGGGTGGTTTAGATAGCGGCAACAAAAGGCTAGGGTAGAAAAAACCAATACTATTTTACGCAGTCTCGTACCTATATATCTCCTTACAGCAAATTAGTGATAAAATATATCCAGAACCATATCATCTTGC